TTACATTTTTTTAGTACTAATTGATGATATCTTTAAACCTTGTGTGTTTTGAAGGTTGGGGTTGTGTCTAGGTGATAGAGCATTTGTCTGGTATATACAGGGTCCTGAGTTCAGTCCTTGGCACAGCAAAAATTAAAAGTTAGCATAAATAAAACATTTCTTCCCCTAAACCATGGGTGCTTTAAATATACATTAACAAATGATGTTGAAGGTACACTTAATGTTTTAAAAATCTGTTTTGATTTCTTAGTTATTGTTGAAGTATATGCTCTGACAATTTCATAAAGAATAACTTTCTTTTTCTCCTTTGAAATGCATTGCTAAATTGTCTTTTTTTGTTTGTTTGTTTTGTTTTTGTTTTTGGGTCGCACCCAGCCATACACAGGGGTTACTCCTGGCTTTGCACTCAGGAATTACCCCTGGTGGTGCTCAGGGGACCATATGGGATGCTGGGAATCGGACCCAGGTCAGCCGCGTGCAAGGCAAACACTCTACTTGCTGTGCTATCACTCCAGCCCCTACTAAATTGTCTTAAAGTAGAAATGGATATCATGGCTCAGTGGCCATAGCAAAAATAACGTCTTCATATAAGTAGCTTGTTTTCTGAATTGTTTTCCTTTACTAGAGGGAGAGCTTGATGTTAAGGTATTTTTCTGAGAGCTGAGCATGAGCCAAAGAAAATCTATTAATTTCGAGAAGAATGCTTTAGGAAATATATGTACAGAATAGGTTATATTCCACTATTTCACGGTGGCTTTCTGACTATAATTGTTACTGTTTTTGTGTGTTTTTTCTTTTTGCTTTTATAATAGCAGTAGATCTCTTTCTTCAAGTGAAACCTTACACAAGTCCGCAACAATTATTAAGGAAGAAAAGAACAAGTATAACTTTTAATCAGAATTCCATTCTTTGGAAATGCATCAAAATGAAATGACTCATATTAAAATTTGGGGTTATCTTTCTTTCTTTTTTTTTCTTTTTTACCACACCCTGCAGTGTTCAGAGCTTATTACTGGCTCTTCCCTCAGGGATCACTCCTGGCTGGCTCGGGGGACCATGTAGTATGCTGGGAATTGAACCCGGGTAAGCTGCTGTACCAGGGGTTAAGCTGCTTGCCTTGCATGCAGACAACCCGGACTCTGTCAATCCTGGCACCACATATGGTTGGCTCCTCAGTACCAAAGGATTAAGCATTCAGTGCCATGGGGTATTACAAAATACAAACAACAGCAAAACTTGGGGGTCTGGTTATATAGAGGGTTAAGATACTTGTCTTGCATTCTGCTGAATCTGGTTTGAATTTCCAGCACCAAGCACTGCCAGGTATGACCCCCCAAATGAAATCATCTTGAAATTTTGTGCAGTAAATGCTGAATGTGATAATCATATAAATTTTATTCAGTTCTCTGAACTAGAATTGCTCCTTGTAATATGTTATTTTTAGAAGTGGAGGCTGGGGCCAGAGTGAAAGAACAGTAGGTAAGAGGTTTGCCTTGCACACTGCCTACCCAGGTTTGATCCCTGGAACCACGTTTGGCCCCCTAAACACTGCCCAGTGGGGCCCTGCACAGAGCCAGAAGCGAGCCTGTGCATCTCTGGATGTGGCCCAAAACAAATTTTAAGTGTAGAAGCTGGGGAAGTGGGTCTGTAGGAGAGTGCCATACATAACAATAGCAATGATGATAAAAGAGTACCATAATAATAATTATAAAATATGGGGGCGTCTTATAGTTTCTTACAGCAAAACTTAAATTCAGGGTTTCTGTAGGGAAAATGACAAATCCCTAAAACCTGGAAAAGCTGAGCTGTCTTCTACCTGTTTGAACCAACTCAATTTAGTATAGTGACAATTTCTAGTAAAGATATGGTAAAATCAAGGCCTACTTACAAGAAAGGAGACATCACTTTAGCAGAGTAATGAAAAAAAAAAATCTGTATTTTGGCTGCTTCCTAAATGATTCAAGAGGTTTGTGAAACTGTTACATATGTGGTGCTGAAGCAATAGAACAACAGATAGGGTGTTTGCCTTGCATACAGCCAACCTGGGTTTGATTCCCAGCATTCCATATGGTTCCCCGAGCACTGACAGGAGTAATTCCTGAGCGCAGAGCTAGGAGTAACCCCAGGAGTGGCCCCAAAACAAAAACAGAAAACTGTTTTACATGATGATTGTCTATACACAGTCAGACTCACCTGTGTTTGTGTATATGCATATCTTCCTATTTGCCAATGCCCAAAGGGGCAGATATTAGCTTTTTCCTCCCCACTGGGAAATATTTCAGATTTCATTACTATCTTGTTTTTTTGTTGTTTATTTTGTTTTTTTGGTTTGGGGCCACACCCAGCAATGCTCAAGGGTTACTCTTGACTCTGCACTCAGGAATCACTTCTGGTAGGGCTTGGGGGAACATATGGGATGCCTGGTATCAAACCCAGGTCAGTTGTGTGCAAGTCAAGCTCACTACCTGCTTTGCTATCGCTCCGTCACTCCAGACTCATTACTATCTTGTTGTTTTTTTAAAAGATTATTGTTATTTGTTAATAATTAACAATTTTAATTGATTAATAAATGTTAATTAATTTTAAGATTAATGTTACTTTAAATTAATAGATAATTAGCATTATCATTTAATGTTAATTGTTATTTGTTAGTTAATAGACTGGAGCAATAGCACAGCGGTAGGGTTAGTTTGCCTTGCAAGCGGCCAGCCCGGCCAAGCCAGGTTCAGTTCCTCTGCCCCTCTCAGAGAGCCCAGCAAGCTACTGAGAGTATCTCGCCCTCATGGCAAAGCCTGGCAAGCTACCTGTGAGTATTCGATATGCCAAACACAGTAACAACAAGTCTCAAAATGTTACTGGGCCAGCTCAAGCAAATTGATAAACAATGGAAGGACAGTGCTACAGGTTATATAGAATCTTCCCTCTACTCCAGTTGACTTAATACAGCTTGTTACTCGTTATATAAATTAATTTCTATTCAAAATTAATAGCATTGACAGGTAAACTTATTTGTTTTTTAATACATAAGATAAAGGTAAGGTAAAGGCCCTCCCGTTGTTCATCGATTTGCTCAAGCGGGCCCAGTAACGTCTCCATTGGAGACTTTATTGTTACCGTGTTTGGCATATCGAATACGCCATGGGGAGCTTGCCAGGCTCTGCTGTGCGGGCGAGATACTCTCGGTAGCTTGTCGGGCTCTCCGAGAGGGGCGGAGGAATCGAACTCGGGTCGGCCACGTTGGCTGCGTGCAAGGCAAACACCCTACCGCTGTGCATCGCTCCAAATCCAGATATGTAATTAAGGAAGACCCAAAATATTTTAGAATATGAATTATAACTTATACTTAAAATTTAGTACATGTATATGCATTATTTAGAGAAGGCCGCCTCAAAGTGCTAAGGAACTATTCTTGGCTCTATGCTGGGGATTGTTTCTGGTGGTGCTCAGGCAGCCGTGTGATGTTGGGGGTCAGAGGTGAGCCTCATGCAAGGCAGAACCTTTACCCTATTATTTTCCTAGCCTATGTATAAGGATTGAATGTCTCCAAAAGGATCTTTAAGAAACTACTCTGGAGGGCCAGAACAGTAGTACTGTGAATGGACATCGCCATTCAGTAGTACAGTTGCACATCACCAACCTGGGTTTGATCCCTAGCAACACACAAGAATTCCCACGCACTGCCAGGAGTGACCCCTAGTGCAGAAGTAGGCCTAAGCCCTGACGGAAGGAAGGGACGGAAGGAGGGAACAGGAAAGGGGAATGGAGGAAGTTTTAGAGAAGGCCTCTAGGTAGCAGAAGTGGAGGGGGAGGGAAGTGGAGAATCTACTTTCCATATCCATATCCTTTTTTTCTTTTCTTTTTTCCTGAAGTGCCAGGAATTGATGAAATCAGGGCCTCAGTACATGTAAGGCCATTACTTTGTTACTGTACCTCCGTGTGTGTGTGTGTGTGTGTGTGTGTGTGTGTGTGTGTGTGTGTGTGCGCGCGCGTGTGCGCGCGTGCACGCACACGAATGCTGGTACAAATTACTATTTAACATAATTTGGTGTACTACAGGAGATACTACTTACCTTGCACATAACTGACCCCAGTGTCTTCCCCTGCAGTGCATGTGTTTCCTCAGCACTGTTGGCTATAGCTCAGATCCCTCCCTGAAATAAAATAAAACATTATTAATAGGAGGGAATACTGTGCCATAGAATCTTAGGAACTGGTCTAAGCCTTTCCTTCCTGTAGTTGATCTAGAAATGCCCAAATGCTTTCTATAAGATTATGTTATTTATTTTAGCTTGATTTTTCATTTTATTATATTAGTAGTTGTCAGTTGGTCAGCATATCATAATGTGTGTTATCTTGATAAAATCTCTGCTGTTCATTTTCATATTCTGCCTATCCACTATTGATGCTTGAATAAAACAAATTCATTAACTGTGACATGATGTAGACCGAAATTAGTGCGTCTTTATTTTTTAAAGGGAAAGGGGTTTTTTTTGTTTTTTTTTTTCTCCCAATGATAAACCCATTTATCATTAAATAAATGATAAATGGGTTTAGAATTTTACTTTCTTCTATCCGAAAGACACATTGGGGACCAGAGAGATAGGGGGTTGGGTGCTTGCCAATCCAGGGTCTATCCCCTGCATCCCATATGGTCCCCCAAGCACAGCCAGGAATAATTCCTGAGTGCAGAGCCAGGAATAACCCCTGAGCAGCACCGAGTGTGTTCCCACTCCCCACCACTCCCCTCCAAAAAAAAAAAAGAAAAGAAACATTGGTAAGGGGCTGGAGAGATAGCATAGCGGGTAGGGTGTTTGCCTTGCACGTGGCCGACCCGGTTTCGATTCCCAGCATCCCATATAGTCCCCTAAACACCACCGGGAGTAATTCCTGATTGCAGAGCCAGGAGTAACCCCTGTGCATTGCCAGGTGTGACCCAAAAAAGCAAACAAAAAAAAAGAAAGAAACATTGGTAAATTTATCATTTGTTAATCGTTTTACAGACCCTGGCCTCATGTCCTATTGATCGAAAACCTTTTCAAGCAGTATTTAAATTCAATGCATTGGAAGGTTGCGTTAAGGTAAGATTTAGATTTTATTTTGTAACATAAATTGTGTAAACTTATTTGAGACCTTTAATTCTTAGATTGCTGGTTTGAGTATTTTTAAATTGTTCAATTTAAGGCTTAATATGTAGTTATCATTCCTTCACATTACAAGCACAGGCTTTTCTACAAATACACAGAAATTCTTAACCTTCTTTTTCATCACACCCTAAAAATGGCATACTCATGGTAGTTCCCATATGATTTTCTACGAAATGATAAGAATTCCAATGATCTAAAAGAAGTTTCATTTGGGCTGGAAAGATTGTACGTTGGATAAGGTGTTTGACTTACGTGGAGCCAACCCAAATTCAGTCCCCTGCACCGCATATGTTCCCCCGAGCATTGCCAAGTGCCACCTTTGCAGAGAGTGTAAAGTAAGCCCTGGGCACAGGTGCCCCCCCAAAATTTTTTTTAATGTTTTTAAAAGAAAAGAAGTAGTAGTAGTAATACCACATTCACATTAACTTTTAACTATGGAATATGAAAATTCTTTGTACAGGCTCCTGTGATGCTCCTGCAGGGTGGACCTAATGGTTCAATGCTAAGTGTGGATGTCATGCTTAATATAAATATGACTTTCATGAGATGCACAAACATTGCTGCTACTTACAGTGTTGTATGTGCCTGAATATGATTTTTTATTGTGGTTTTTTTTTACTTATTTTCAAATAAAAAAGATAGGAACATATTTCTGCATTAATAAGTAAAAGATGTAAAGGAAATAGGGGAGTAAAAGTTATGATTTATGAGAATGATTTTGTGAAGTATGACTAACAAGGCATGTATGTATATGTATATATATGTGCAAGAATCCTGAGTATATATATATATATACATATATATATACACACACACATATACATAGATAATGCCAGTGATGAGGAAACCAAACTTGTAGCATTACAAATTTGTGATAGCTTGGTTGCTGTCTCTGAGTAGAAAGAAGTGTGGTAGCAATGAACAAATGTTTAAGCAAATAATAAAATATTCTCTGCAGATACTGGTTTATATGTATTTGATATATTTGTACCAGATGAGTCTAAATGACAATTCAAATAAAATGGCTTATTGTAAAATATGATTTTTCTTATAATTGTATAACTGGACATCTAGTCATCTGAATATATCTTTGAGAAAAGATGTAATCAGAACATATATAGAGTATGGTTTCTAAATACTGTTTTCTTTTTCCAGAATATATATGTGTATAAATAAATATATGTGTGTATATATGTATATAGACATACACACATACATAAAATGTTCTAAAGATTATTCAGAATGAACTTGCTTCCAACCATATTTTTCTATAAAAATTTGTTCTGTTGCTTGAAATAAATATCTATTTAATAGCTGTGTTTTATTTGGTAAGGTATATTTTTATATTTGGTATCATCATAGTCTGTGTTTCTATTTATCTTTTATTTCATTGACTCTTTACTTACTGGCCTGTTCTTTTTACAACTAGAGTGAGACATCAATACTTGCTAACTTTACTCAATTACTTTTTAACTCCCACTTAACATTCACATTTATAATTTACTGAAATTGTCCTCACTAAAACTCTGATGACCTTAAAGGCAAGGCCCAGAATAAACTGAATTGAATATTTTCTGCATGTAAAGTTGCAATGTCATTTATTTATTTTGATGTCGGTATATCCTTCACTTAAGAGTATGCGTGTGTATATATATATATATTTTTTTAATGTATGCTTTACTTACACAATTTTCACAATCTCCTTTGCTATCTCACTACCCTTTGTACTTTTATTAAATTACATTGGGGTTCCTCATAGGATTTTCTTTTCAGCACAATAAGTGTGCTTCTTTTTTTCTTTTTTTTGTTTCCTTTTGGGTACACTTAGGCATTACTCCTGATGTTTCTTGGGGGATCGTATGGGATGCAAAGGATCAAACCTGAGTCAGCCATGTACAAAGCAAACGCAGTACCCACTGTAGTATTGCTTTGATCCACACTAGCTGTACTTTCTCCCTAAATCTTCACAAGTATTTCAGTAACTTTAAGTTTACTATCTAGGTGGTACTTATAGCTTCTAAAATTTCTCTAGGGTTTATTTAGGACATGTCTTCTTCCCTTAGGTCCAGATTTTTTTTTTTTTACTTGTTGCACATTTTCATCCATGAATACTAAGGAATTTTAGCATTAAAAATATTTTTTTTTTCAATGGGACTGGAGCGCTAGTGCAGTGGGTAAGGTGCTTCCCTTGCACACAGCTGACCCAGGTTCTATCCCTAGCATCCTATTTGGACTCCGGTGCACCACCAGGAGTATTTCCGGAGTGTAGAGCCAGGAATAAGTCCTGAACACTGCTGGGTGTGGCCCAGAAACCAAAAAAGAACTAAATAAATTCAAAGGTTATTCCTTCTTGTAAAGGTAAAGGCCCTCCCATTGTTCGTCGATTTGCTCGAGCTGGCCCAGTAACGTCTCCTTCGTGAGACCTGTTGTTACTGTGTTTGGCATATCGAGTACGTCATGGGGAGCTTGCCAGGCTCTGCCGTGCAGGCGAGATACTCTCGGTAGCCTGCCGGGCTCCCCGAGAGGGGCGGAGGAATCGAACTCGGGTCGGCCATGTTGGCTGCGTGCAAGGCAAACGCCCTACCGCTGTGCTATCGCTCCAGCCCTTCTTATTCCCTCCCCCATACAAATGAAAAACATCTGGGAGTTTTCCTATTTTTTTACTTTGTCTCTCATCATTATGCTTGTGCACAAATTTTAAAATACTGTTCTCTTAGTGCGTCTAGGTAGACTCATGCCACATCTCATTTGGTAGATATTGGCAGCTGTAGTTGGATATTTATTGTAACCAGATTAAGAGTGAAAAAAAGAGTGGATGAGATGGTACAGATAGTATGGTGTCTCACATGACAACTTGAATTCAATCCACATATAGTTGTTCCCCCCGCACGGCAGAGCCTGGCAAGCTCCCCGTGACGTATTCGATATGCCAAACACAGTAACAACAAAGTCTCCAATGGAGACGTTACTGGGCCCGCTCGAGCAAATCGATGATCAACGGGAGGAACTTAGATGAGATGAGATAGTTGTTCCCAGCACCACCAGGAGTGATCCCTGAGCACAGAGCCAGAAATAAGCAGTGAGCACTTGAAATATGGTTTGATTACAGGAGACTGGGGTGGGGGGAGTGGGGAGAGGAAAAGAACAGCAGGTAAGACACTTACCTTGCACACAGCTGGTATGTGTTCAGTCCCCAGCACCACATCGTCTCCAGAGCACCAGCAGGAGTGATCTCTGAGCACACAAAATGAAAAAAAAGAGATCATCTTAATTGCTTCCTTTAAATTCCATTTGTTCTCTGATTCCCGTGAAATTACTTTTCTTGCCCAACACTTTTTGTAGTTTGGTCCTGATACGTTACATCAATTGCATATCCTGTTAATTTTTTTCGCCATCTATGTTGGCCTCTCACTTTTCTAATAACTGTTCTTTCCACTATCTAGAATATATTTTCCTTAGACAGAGTCCTGGGCTGGAGCTATAGCACAGCGGGTAAGGCATTTGCCTTGCACACAGCCAACATGGCCGACCCGAGATTGATTAATCCATCCCTCTCGGAGAGCCCGGCAAGCTACCGAGAGTATCTCGGCCACACGGCAAAGCCTTGCAAGCTACCTGTGTCGTGATCGATATACCAAACACACTAACAAGTGTCACACTGGGCCCGCGCGAGCAATTCAATAAACAACAAGAGGACAGTGACAGTGACAGAGTCCTACACATTTAAGACCAACTGGTAAATCATCTACTCATTAAAAGTAGATGGTTTTAATCTATTTTAAACCCATCTGGCAATCTGAGGTAAAGTTCATTTGATAACATGTATACAAAAATTATTGCTTCTCTCTCATGATTTTATACATCTAGCCCACAGGCCACGTAAGGCCAGTGAAATCAAGTGGTCTATCTCTGGTACATGACAGGACAGACACATGTCCTTCTCTGTGGCTGCCTGTGATCTGTCTGTTGTATGCAGCCTGCAAATAATACTATAAATATCCAAATAGCCCATGGTAGAAGAGTTTCCATTTCCTGCTTTGAGCTATCCCACTTACTAAGCTTATGGTTTACAAACATTTAATCAGTGAGCAACTGTATTTTGACTATACTTTCATTCAGGCAGTTTCTTTTTTTGTTGCATTGATTTCTTTATTATTTGCTTATAAGGGAGTCTAAGTAGGTTTATCATTTGTGGTTCTGGATTCTCACTCATAAGTAGGTAATTTTGCTTTTCTCACAGGTTCAAGTAAAAAAACAGTTGAGAGAAACAAAAGACAAGAAAAATGAAAACTCTTTTAAGAAACAGCTTTCCTGTCCTGAAAATTCTAGAAGCTGTATGAGGTTAGTGATGAGCTTTAAAAGTAGAATTCAAATATGAACCAGATGTGGAATTAATTTTTTTTCAAAGTACAAATTTGATAATGTAATGGAAAGACTAGTTGAAATCATAATATAACTTCAGCTTAATGATAAATTTGAGTTTTTCACCCTTGTTTGCTTTAGATGTTTTTGTAAGATTAAAATATTAGCACTTTAAAATTTCTATAAAAATTTCTAAATGTTTATTTTTATACTAATATACCAATTATAAGTGCAAGCCATATGAATTATTAGTATTAAGTATTAATATTTAAGAATAGTTTTCTAATAAATCTTTTGGAGGGGTCACACTTAGTGCTGCTCAGGGTCTGTGCTCAAGAATGACCCCTTGGGGCTGGAGCCATAGCACAATGGGTAAGGCGTTTGCCTTGCACGCAACCGACCCAGGTTCAAAAATTAGGGGCTGGAGGTACAGCGGGTAGTGCATTTGTCTTGCACGTGGCCAACCTGGGTTTGATTCCTGGCATCCTATATGGTCCTCCAAGTACTGCCAGGAGTAACCCCTGAGCATCGCCAGGTGTGACCCAGAAGCCAAAATACAATAACAAAAAATTAGGAACTGGAATGATAGTGCTGTGTGGGAGGTCACTTGCCTTGCATGTGGCTGTCCCGGCTATCTCTGTATGTCCCCTGAGCCCTACCTAGAGTGATCCTTGAGTGTAGAGACAGGAGTAAGCTCTGAGCACACAGGTGGGTGTCACCCCAAAACCAGAAAATGACAGCAGTGGCAGCAAATAATACTTCGGGCCAGAGTCCTAGTACAACAGGTAAGGCTCTTGCTTGCCTTGAACGCAGTTGACATAGGCTCAATCCTGTCGCTACTTATTTTTCCTTGAGCACTTCCAGGTGTGGCTCCAAAACCAAAAAACTAATACATAAATAGATGAAGTGAAACTCAGGCCCATTATGTATGAAATAGTATTTAGAACTTCCCAGTAAGCTAGGTACTACTTTATTTCCTTACTCCCTGCCCTGCTTTGGAGTTGCTCCTGGTGATGTTCAGGGAGCTATGAGGTACAAGAGCTAGAACTTTGAGCCTCTCACATGCAGAACATTTGCTCAGTGTGCTGAGCTGTTTCTCCTCTTCTAGAACTTGCGTGTTTAAATAATTTTGTCAGATTCTTAACTCAGTTTATGATTTATTATTCTTTCTCATCAGATAACAGTATCTGGAAAAGCAAGTTTTGTTAACAAAAACAGTTGACTATAGGGGCTGGAGCTGTAGTACAGCAGATAGGGCATTTGCCTTGCATACGGCCGACCCGGGTTTGTTTCCCAGCATCACATATGGTCCCCCAAGCACCGCCAGGAGTAATTCCTGAGTACAGAGCCAGGAGTAACCCCTGTGCATCGCCAAGTGTGACCCAAAAAGCAAAAACAAAACCAAAAAAAAAAAGTGGACTTTAGTCCCTGAAATTTATTGAATTATGTCATTAATTTATAGCACTATAGCACTTTTAGATTTTTTAATTTTTGTACTTTAAGGACTTCTTTGAGAATCTAAAGCAATAAGATTGCTTCTGCCAGAAAAATATATCAAAACATTCTTAATAAGAACTTTGTGAGCCAGAGAGATAACAGGATGTTAAGGCTTGCTTTATACACAGCATACTCCAGTTGTATCTCTGATACCACATAGGATACCTTGAGCACTGCTAGAAGGGATAGATACCTGAATAGAGAGTCATGAGTAAGACCTGAGCAGCACCAGCTGTGACCTGTAAAAATAAATAGATGAAAAATAAATTTTATAAGATTTTAAGAAATTCACAGAACACCTACTCCAGAAATTATTTTATAAGTGCATTAGGTTGGATTTTATTTACATTTTCTTTTAACTACATCAGTTAGTTTCATATTCTTCTGTGATGTTTATGTCCTACCTTTTCTGGAGCCAGGAATGTGGTTGTAGTGATAAAGGACTTATTTTACGTGTACAAGGCCCTGATTAAGTCCCTAGCACTGGAGTACCCTGAGGATAGTCAGGTGTAGTTTTCCCCAACCCTCAAGAAAAATACATTTTGTACTTTCATTCTTGATATGGCATGGTGACAGTGCTTTAGATATGCATTTTTGTGCTTTTTCAAAATTACTCTAGTTTTGCATACTTTGCTAAGAATGTAATATTCATTACTATAAAAGGGTGTTACAGTGAGTCTAATACAGCTGAGGATACTTGCCTGGATGCTTTTTCTCAGGGATTTGTGGTTAAAAAATAACAGCTGATTCAATTAAAAAAATACAAATTTTAAAAAACAAAGTAGTAACAGGTGCAGAAGGCCAGAGCAATAGCACTTGTTTTGCATGCAGCTGACCCAGGTTTGTTCCTCAATATCTCATATAGACTCCCAAGTCCACCCTAAATAATTCTTGAGTGCAGAGCCAGGAGTAACCCCTGAGCATTGCTGTGTGTGACCCAAAAGAAAAAGAAATAGCAGGTGTGGGACTGGAGCGGTAGTGTAGCAGGGAGAATGATTGCCTTGCATGAGGCCTACCCAGGTCTGTGCTGTATGTAGGGTTCCCCAAGCCTTGCCATGAATGATACCTGAGCGTAGAGCCAGGAGTAATGGCTGAGCACTTCCTGGTGTGGTGGGCCTTGGGAAAGAGGGAGAGATAGAAAAGAACAGGTGCAAAATAATAACATTTACTCCTGGGCACTGCTGGGTATGAGAGGAAAGGGAGGGAGGGAGAGAGAGAGGGAGAGAGAGGAGGAAGGAAAGTGGAGGGAGGAGTGAGAAAGGGAAAGAAGAAAGGAAGAACATTTTTGGCCCACAAGATTATCCCTTTGATGACTGCCAAGTATGGAAACTATTAGGCATTAGATTTGGAGTACATTCGTTTTGGAGTTCTGAGAATATTTTTCAGGATTCTTAGCATTCAGTCTTCTGTATACTTCATATATCTAGTCTCTCTCTCCTACTCTCAAAGGATATCCATTTAGTGTTGCCATTCCCTTCTGAAAATGCCATGGTTTACAAATTCGTTTGATAATTTGTTGCAGGCATTCATTCCAACAGCAGTCCCACCAGCAGTCACTTTCCCCCTCTCCATTTTCCCAACTACCCCTCAAACCTGTCTCATAGCAGACCCACAGTAATTTATTTTATATTACTTGTGATCACTAACTGGTTAATGGAATGATTAAAAATATTTCCATAGAAGAAAATTGTGAGAGTTGTTGTATCTTACTGTGGAACATTAAGTCCTTGTCTGAGGGTTTACTAAGCTATAACTGCAAGCTAAGTCTTCGGTGTTAATGTTGGGTTAGTAAAGATTGATTAACTTCCATGTTGCATTCCATCTAATCCAGTGCACTGCCACTGGGATGTCAGCGCGGACATGCTCCAGAAAATCCAGAATATTTCATGGCAGTCTCTGAGGCTAAGGTGGTCAAGTCCAAGAGTTTAACTGGAGGCATGGCGGCAGATTTGGGGTGTGGGGACAGCTGCTGGGCTTTGATGGGACAGAAGCTAGCTAGCCTGCCCGTTCTTGAAATGGCCCTGGAGGTCTCAGCTGAACTACTGGTGGTATCCGTGGCTAGTTGATCTCTTTTGAAATTTATTTATGAGTCTGAAACAGAACCAGAAGGTGGATAAGCTTATATGGTGGTGAAGATGGTTCAATGACACTTTTTATTTTTTGCTTTATATCTGACCCTGCCCTCAGGAATTACTCCTGGCGGTGTTTAAGGGACCATATGGGATTCTGGGGATCAAACCCGGGTTGGAGAACCAACCCAGATCCGCCTTGTGCAAGGCAAATGCCCTACCCGCTGTACTATCACTCCGGTCCCTATGACACTCCTTTTTTAAAAAAAATGTTTACCAGTTCCAGAGGCAGGAGCTGGCACTATTTTTTGTCTTGTTAGTCAACCTCCATTTTATGTTTTGGGGATTGGGGAGTTGCAACTAATGCTCTCTTGGCTTAAATTTAAATCTATATATGTTGTAAATTTTACTTTGTTGAGCAGTGAATTATATATATATATAAGTGAGAAAAATAGCAATTATAACAAAATTATTTCTCATCTTTGTTTCTGTGTACAGGAAAAAAGTCCTAAGAATGGATTTACTAAGTGCAAGATTTTATGACTTGAAGATGATACATAGTAAGTGACTTTGTACCTTTTTTTTTTTTTAATACTTGTATCAAAATTCTACTTGGTAACAGTTTGGAAACTAGCCATATATATATAGTCATCCATAGACCCTTTTGGATTTACCTTATAAGTCCTACTTTAACTGCCTTCATAGACTCATTAACGCTGTTTCCTCTGCTTTTTGTCTTGTGCTTAGCTTGACAAAAGCTAAGAGGAAAGTGGAGGCTGGAGAGGAGAATGCAGTGAGAACAGAAACAGGAGAAAAGAGGGTTTTTAGTTACTTGGTGGTGAACAACCTACACGGTGTTCTTAGTTCATACATTTTTACAGAAATCCTTAGGTTAGGTGACATACATACCTGTGTGCCAGTAGCTTTAGTAGCAAGGGAAGGAAGTCTGTGAGAATGAAACATTCATTTGCAGCTCACAGAGGAAATTGTTGTTTGGCTTATTTGCACAGTTCTAACTTGAAACTTCGGAAATGAAGCACCTTTTGCATATTTATGATATATGTGAGCAATTAAATATTCCTATATTTTGTTCTTGTTTAGTACATGGTTTTCTGATACAGGAAAGATTTTCAGCAGAGACTATGGAAATTGGCATTGTATTGTTTTATGATTCCTTTTTGGAATTCAGATTGTTTATTATATTCCCCAAAAGTGAAATAGCTCACTTCTGTGAGCTATTTGTAAGTAAGGTACTGATCACTTTTTATAGCTGGATTACATTAATTTCTGTTTCTAGATAGAATAATGAGGTCATTGTTTTTAGAAGTAAATCTTTCATCAGCTTCATTTTTGGTACAGTAGCACTGTAGCACTGTCCTCCCATTGTTTGTCATTTTGCTCGAGTGGGCCCAGTAACGTATGAACATCAATTTTGGTGGTTATTGTTTTGCGGCTGGAGTGATGAGCCCAGTAGACTGTGTGATTTGTGTGCAAGTGACCTGACTTTGACCCCTGATCATCCAGCCAGGAGCAGCTCCATTGCGCGTTGCCCAAAACCCCAAAAAATAAAGTGAAACTGTATTAAAGGGAAAAATAAAAGTTAAGATAAATAATAGTTAAATAAGCTTTTAATCTAAAGAACTTAAAAAAAATTTTGTTTTCCTGTGTCTTTGCTCTAGATTAGTGTGTGCATATGTATGTTGGTGTATTTTTCCCTCTGTCAGCCCTTTGCTTGGTAACTTCAGTATTTCATATTGCTGGGGGAAATTTAAAAGATGCTGTAGATTTTTCTCTAGTTTATCCACTCATTGTTACTAGTTTTAACACTTTGTCCTTTTCTTTAAATATGTATTTCTGGCACATATGCTGCTTAAGCCCATGTGTGCTTACGTCCACGTGGCTGAGCACATGTGGTGTCCAAGCACATGTGTCGCCCGCATCTCCCCTCTTGAGATGTGTACTTCCATTCTTTTGTGTCTAACTTTACTTTCTCTTTCTCTCTCTCTCTCTCTCTCTCTCTCTCTCTCTCTCTCTCTCTCTCTCTCTCTCACACACACACACACACACACACACCTAAAAATCCTCCAAATAAAATCTATTTGTTTCAAAAAAAAATATGTATTTCTTGCCTAGGCTTAGGTTTAGAAAAACAAACATAGTCAGGTCTTGATTCAGTAGTGCATAATGAAGAACATTTTTAAGACTACATGTTTTACCCTATTTGAGTTTATTATTGAGAATATGAAATATTAAGTGTTTAATGGAAATATTCACCAATTTAATACTGAGTGGCTCATTTAAAAGTTCTTTAAAATAGGAAACTAGGAGATGGAGCAGTAGTGCAATGGATAGGTTGATGCTTTGCATGCAGCAGACATGGGTTCAATCCCTGGCACCCTATGTTATCCCACAAACCCCACCAGTGGCGATCCATGCAGAGCCAGGAGTAAGCACAGCCAGGTATGTCCCAAAAACAAATTGGGGAGGAAATAATAAAATGAAACATGAGCTAGTGGAAAAAACTAAAATAAATAAAAAACAGTTCCTGCCATAAGCTTAACTTTGTTCTGCTGTGCAATGTCCACGTAAATTTAAGGTGCGTCCATGTCATTTGTTTGACTTATGATAGGCAGAAATAATTCTTAGGCTGTTAAGCCCGGGATTCTGGGTTCCCAAGCAGCGAGACAGAGACACAAACTCTATAATGCAAAAGCAATAAGAGTTTTATTCCAGTATACTGGGGTCAACTATCTCACCCACAGAGTGGTCTCTTGATAGTGACCCCAACTTCAGGCAGCAATCAGTTTATATAGAGTTTGATTACATAATCAGTACATGCCTCATTGTTTCAGAAAAAACCTTACCTAGTTACCAAACAAAGGTGTTTTGGCAATTGTCTAGGGAAACAGTGGTCAGGCAATAGTTAAACAATGGTTTCCAGTAACAGTTTGTGGTTACATAAGCTACTCATTCTTTTAGGGTTAACAAAAGACAGTTTCTGGGGCATTTTGACTGGGGGCACAGTGATTGATTGAGCCCACTTGCTGGGCCCAGGAAGTTTCCCAGGTGGGTTCAGGTTGGCTAGTTACGCATTGTTTCATTGCTGGGAAACTGAGACTGTTTCGGTTTCAGGAACTGAACCTGAGTCCTAGCTGATTTTGCAGATTTCTGCCAGCATGTGTTTGCCCTTACAATGCTTTTTTTAAAGATTATGGTAGGGTAGTACAAGAGTGCTAATAACTGCATAATTATGACTAAATATTTTAAGTGAATGAATCTGAGTTTATTTGATGTTGTTTTTGAGTTGAATTTTGATACATCTAAAAGGCTAGGGTTTTGTCAGATCAAAATGGATTAAAGACCTCAACATCAGACCAGAATCCAAAAGGTACATTGAAGACAGGTTGGCAAAATCCTCTGCGACTTTGAAGCTAAATGTATTTTCAAAGATGACACTCCACTGACCAAGCAAATGGAAACAGAAATAAACAAATGGAACTATCTTAAACTCAGAAGCTTCTGTACCTCAAAAGAAACAGTGACAGAATGCAAAGACAATCTACAGAATGGGAAAGGATATTCACCCAGTACCCATCTGATAAAGGGTTGATATCAAGGATATATAAGGCACTGGTTGAACTCTACGAGAAGAAAATATCCAACCCCATCAGAAAATGGGGTGATGAAATGAACAGAAACTTCTCAAAGAAGAAATCTGAATGGCCAAAAGGCACATGAAAAAATGCTCTTTATCACTAATCATCAGGGAGATGCAGATCAAAACAACAATGATATATCATCTCACACCACAGAGACTGGCCCACACCCAAAAGAACAAAAGCGACCAGTGTTGGCGCGGATGTGGGGAGAAAGGGACCGTCTTTCACTGCTGGTGGGAATGCCGACTGGTTCAGCCCTTTTTGAAAACAGGATGGACGTTTCTCGAAAAATTAGAAATAGAGCTCCCATTTGACCCAGCAGTACCATTTCTGGGAATATATCCAAGAAAGTATAATAGAATGACATCTGCACTCGTATGTTCATTGAAGCACTGTTTACAGTAGCCAGAATTTGGAAAAAACCCACGTGCCCAAGAACAAATGACTAGTTAAAGAAACTTTGGTACATCTACACAATGGAATACTATGCAGCTGTTAGAAAAGATGAAGTCATGAAATTTGCATATAAGTGAATTGACATGGAGAGTATCATGCTAAGTGAAATGAGTCAGAGAGAGGGACAGACTGAACTCATTTGTGGAATATAAAGTAAGAGAATGGGAGACTAACACCCAAGGATAGTAGAGATAAAGGCCAGAAGCATTGCTCCATGCTTGGAAGCCGGCCTCACATGCTGGGGGGGAAAGGCAACTGAAATAGAGAAGGGAGCATCAGGTAAATGATGCTTCGAGGGTTCTTTCAGGATGGGAGGTGTGTGCTGAAAGTAGACTATGGACCGAACATGATGACCACTTAGTACCGGTATTGCAAACCACAGCACCCAAAAGGAGATAGAGTGAAAGGGAATGTGCCTGCCACAGAGGCAGAGGGGTGGGCAGGAATACAGGCAACATTGGTGGTGGAGAATGGGTGGAGGGATGGGTACTCAGTCATTATATGACTGAAACGTAATCACAAAAGTTTGTAAGTCTGTAACTGTACCTCACAGTGATTCATTAAAAATAAAAAAAATAATAATAAAAGTCTAAGTTCTTTTTCCCCAGCATTTAAATTGGTTGTATACCTCATGTAATAATAGCTCTTATATTAGGTAGCACTGTCCACCTGTTGTTCATTGATTTGCTCAAACAGGGACCAGTCACGTCTCAACAAATTGAGATTTATTGTTACTGTTTTGGGCATATCAAATACGTTACGGGTAGCTTGCCAGGCTTTGCCTTGAGGGCAAGATACTCTCGGTAGCTTGCCGGGCTCTCCTCGAATGCGGGTCAGCCATGTGCAAGGCAAATGCTGTATCCATTCTGCTATCACTCCAGCCCTTTAAGTATCATAGCTAATAATTTTTCAGGGTTGTTTAAATCTGTCTATATCATAGATTCATACTAGGAAAGTAACTGTTCATACTAGAATAGCAACGAGGAAAGAAACTTCATATTAAGAAAGCAAAAGCATTGGGGCTGGAGTGATAGCACAGCGGGTAGGGCGTTTGCCTTGCATGTGGCCGACCTGGGTTGATTCCCAGCATCTCATATGGTCCTTTGAGCACTGCCGGGAGTAACCCCTGTGCATCGCCAGATGTGACCTAAAAAGCAAAAAAAAAAAGGAAATGTGATAATGCCGGGCTGGAGAGATGCTACGGGAGGTGACGGTCTTGCCTTGCTTGCAGCCAACCCCTATTAGATCCCAGGCATCACATGGTCCAGGGCACCACCGGGGCACAGAGTCAGGAATAATCCCTGAGTGCTGCTGGTATGGACCCCAAAAGCCAATTTTTAAAAAAAATTTTTTTGAGTGACCATTCATAAAATAATTACAAGCAACAGTATGTGCAGCAGTGGCACAGTGTGTTGATAATTTTATGAAAAATTTCTAACTTAGAAAAGTCTTTTATCATTCCTATTAAGTGCTAGGTCCAAATAACAGTGTTATCAAACATATAAGAATCAAAAGTTTGTTCTCATGCATCCTTTTCTGAATTCAGCTGGAGGTTATATATGCTTCACTAAGTAAAGGAACTGAAGTAGCAAGTGCAATTCAACAATTAGTTCTTAACAGAGAAAAAGTAAAAGGGAGTCAGTCACCGAGATGCTGTTGAAGACTATTGACAAGATGTTGATAGAGGACTATCCAGAATGACGTTGAGTAAGCAGTTATTAGAGAGTTATCTCTTCATATTGTTTTGTTTCAGAACAAAGGAAGAGTATTCCCAACAGAGTGGAGGATAATTTGATGGAAAGTCGGTGTATTTGAGTGTTAAGATTCATACTTTAAAAAGAAAAAGATTCGTACTTTTACTGTTAGCTGAATTAATGATAAATGATGTAAGAAAAATGGAAAAGAAGAAACAAATCCTTATAATATAGATGTATGTAATATATAATATATATTTTATATGTTATAGAAAAATATCAATCAGGGCCGAATACATAATTTAACTGTGAATAATGTTTACATAGTTATAATGTAATATGAAATATTAATGCATAAAATGAACATTAGGGTTGAGACACCATAGGAAGTAGGTAGCAGTGGAAGTATTATAAGAAATGTTTTTAGTAAAAACCTCAGAAAATATCTGAAACCCCCAAATCAAGGTTGAATAGTATATACATGTTATTTAAAAACAAAGAGGTAAATATAAAAAGGAATTGGTAGAAGATTTTACTAAGTGAGTTGGGGGAAATTAAAATACCTGGGGTTGGCTAGGTAGTATAGCAGGTAGGTTAGCAGGGGCTCACTCTCTGGCACCTCATACTCATATAGCCTCCTAAGTGCAAAGTCAGGAGTCAGCCCTCAGCACTGCCGGATATGCCCCCAAATCAGACCGAGAATGGGGATTCCAGTAGTTCTTTATAAGCCCAGAAGGTGCTTAGACTTCCTAGAGAAAGTATGTGCACTACTTTATTGAAAATTAAACTTGAAAGCATGTTTATAGTTGTTCATACACAGGTATAGCTTAGTAAGGTATATTTGTGAAATGGTCTCCAGGAAACTACCATTTAGATAATCCATTAGTATTTTTAATACTTTTAAGAGTGTCCTGATAGCTGCCCGATTAGCTACCTGACAATTACTCAGAAATAGATGAAACAACTTTTGAACTAGATTTTCACACTTAGCATGGACCAGAAAACAGTTCTTCCTATAGCTAATTTAATCCAGTGGGAGTTTACAAAGTTAGGTTTCTGGTGAAAGAATGTACATGAACATAGGCATTAAGTATTGCATTAAGTATTAAGTGAACAACCTAGTACATACGAGAGACACTGCAACACTGCCAGTCCTGTATTTATTTAATAAGGGGTGTGACTGTTTCTAAGATGGCTATCACAAAATTCTATTCCTGTCTTTTTGGATCACTTTGTTTTCAATGACTGTTGTCTTTTAAGTATTCATGGAAAAGGGTAAGAAAACAAGTTGCTAGTACTCCGCCACAACCCCTCTCACCAACTCTGAAATGACATTTGTTACAGCAGTGCTTGGGTGGAACATAGTTGAAAGATAGATAATAGTATGGGGGGGGGCGGGGGGTGGAAAGCTGTTTGTATATTAATTTAAAAGGAAATTGGTATTTTATTACGTAAAATGTAGGCTGTTACCAATGGACTGACAGAAAAAAACCTTATGACTGACCTTGCAGTAGAAGTAAACAGGCATCTGACTTAGGGTGATTTATTTTGAACAAAGTCTGTAGGCCTTTCATAAGACAAGCAGAACAGGTAAATCAAAGAAAGAAAAACAGTGCAGCCATAAACATTGCTGTACAGAAAGCTGTTTTAATCAACATGTCCACTTTTCCTAATTTTAATTGTAAAAGTTTGAGGAGGAGAAATACTTGAACTTTGGTACCAGTGACTGAATGGTAATATAATTACCATTGGTTGACAGAGGCAACCAGTGATGATTGGTTAGTACACTGGATAGCACCTGCTTGAGATAAGTCCAACCTTTTTTTTTTTCCCCCAAATCATAGCTGGAAAGGAAATATTGCGTTATCAAAAGTAATTTTAGATCTTGTGTATATGTTTTATTATAAAGTGGCTTGTCTGCATCAGGTATTAAAAGCATATTGAGTGGTATTTTAGTACGCATATGCTCTGATTAAATTAAGTTTATTTGCTTCATCGGTTTATTTAGCCTCAAATTTCCCTTCTATAGCATTTGGAAAAATTATGAAAATGTGAATGCTATTTAGAGTGCATCTTTTACCTATATATTTAACTGTTTTGTCAATATATTAATACTTCACAACCTTTTAAAATAAAACTAAGGGTATTAGAGATAGAATATAGGAGGTAGAGTGCTTGCCTTGCACACAGCCAATTCAGGTTTGATACCTGGAACCACATATGGTCCCCTGAGCACCATCGAGAGTAATCCCTAAGCACGGAACTAGGAGTAGCCCTGAGTACCATTAGGTATGGCCCAGAAACCAAAAAGTAATTAAAATTAAAGGGCCAAATGATAGTACAGCAGGTAAGGTACGTGCCTTGCTTGCATCTTACTTCCATTTGATCCCCAGCACATATGGTCACATATGGTTGGTCTCTGAGCACCAGGTATGACCCCTAAGCAAAACAGAAACACAGCAAACAAAATTTTAAAATGAGATAACAATTTTTTTTTGTCTTTTTACAGGAAAGTTCAAATGCAGTGAAATTGGAAGAAAGAAAAGTAAAACGATAAATAAGGTTTGTTGAAATTTAAATCAAAACTATTGGTTGTTAAGTACATAATGATTATCTACTGTTGGGGGGGGTGTCTGTTTGCTGTTTGACTGACTTCTTTTTGCTTTTCTAGCCTCAGAGATCAAATCATTGTACAAGTCAGTGCTTCCAAAATTTTTTCTCCAGTATGTTTTCTTCTGATAATGCTGGGGAATCTTCTTTTACCCAAAGAATGTACTGGTTAGTATTTTTTGTTTTTAATTCATTCTTTTTGTACTTGATATTTTAATCATTTTAACTGTTGGTAGAAATGTAAACTATGGCTTACCAGTAATGAAAGTCACTATTAATTAAAGTTAGTTATTTTAATATCTTAAAAATAAATTCATTCTAGTGAAGAGAAAATTTCTTTGGTATCTGTGGACCAAAATATATAAAATGCAAGTCTCTGTGCTAGTGATCTTTTTGTTCTGTTAGTAACAAGTTTATCTCTACACACTTTTTGTATGATAGAGGAGTGTGTGAGTAGTACCCAGTGGTGAAGAACTCTTTTAGAGAAGACTCAGTCATTTTTTAATCCTTAGTGATTGGCATAAGTAGATACTTGTGGAATTTTCAGATTGTTGGGATTTTAAAATCACAGTTCTTTGAACAAACAAGACAGATTAAAATGTGATTTAATTTTAGAGCTTGGCAAGGTACCAAAGAAATCAACTATATGCGAGTAGGCTTTTTGAAACGCTGAACTAATCTCATTTCTGTTTACAGTACTCATGCCTTCCTCTAAATTTTCAGATGGGAGACCATTGCACCTAGAAATTCTACCAGAACTATTTACTGCAGGCTCATAAAGTAGAAATAGACTTACCATTTTTGTCTCAATGAGAATTTTGTTCTCTGTTTTTCAAAAGCTATATCATGTAAGGTATAATTTTAAGCGTTTTTATAAATTAGGTCAAGAGAAGTTTTGTTTATAATATAAAACTTTTACCTACTGTAGGAATGAGTTTATTTTTTCATTATTTTAAAAGTATAAACTTCAAGATTATATTTATTACTTACATTAATTTATCATTTACTACCCCTTTGTCTGATAAAAAGCTAGCTTATCACATAAAATATTTTTTTGCACTTGGAAAGAGTATAACTTTGTTTTTTGGGGTTTTCCCCCCCATTTTTTTAATTTAATAAAGTTCACAGTAATTTACCATATTTAATACTCCAACACCAATCCCAGCATTATAACTTCTTCCCACGGCCTTTAATTACCTTCCCCACTATCCAAGCCTGTCATGTGAATTGGAGTATAAAAATTATTCTGAGATTTTGCATAGGGTGATAACACTTGTGGCTCTCTTGCCAGATTTGTCAGTCTCCGAATCATGGCCATGAATGGTCATGATGTGGTGCCAGAGGTGGTTTGTGGGCGTGGTCGCCAGGCTCCAGGAAAACAGGGATATGGGTGGAGGTCGCCCATTCCCAACTCTGCAGAGGCCTAGGGGTCACAAAGGCCAGGAATGAGTTCATTTTAAAAGCTAAAGTGTTTTAAAAGTTAAATAGAAAAATATTGTCTTTCAAATTCAGGTTTTGTTTTTGTGGGCCAGATCATTATAAATTTTATTTATAATACAAAACATTATAGGGATGGACTCTTTAGGGTGTTGGGGTTTTGGGATTTTGTTTTTGTTGTTAGGGCCACAGCTGGTAATGCTCAGAGGCTGCTCCTGATTCTGCACTCAGAAATTAATTCCGGCAGTACTTGGGGGACCATCCATAGGATGTTGACAGTTGGACTCACATTGGGTCTGGTCTGCATCTCTTTTTTTAAAGGTTTTAAATAGAAAAAGATTATTTTTTACATGTACCTTGCTATGTTAGGTACAAAAATTTGTCCTGTTGATATGACCCTCTTGTAACTTTGAAATTAATTTTTTAGAATTCTGATGAAGGTTAATTTTTTTTTTTAGTACAGAATATTTAGAAGTCAGTGAAATCAGTGCATTGGTAAGACAGAAGAGACGGGAACTGGAGTTGTCATGGTTTCCTGATACAGTACCTGGAATTGGAAGGTAAGAAGTTGTTTACATGCTAATATGAGCATAAGATAGTTAATTTTTAAGTACAAAGGTATATTAAGTAGTTACATTTCTAAAACAGTAATGTGCAAATTAAATGCCAGTGTTTTAAATGCCTGATGAAGTTCGTATTTAAACATTTCTGGGGACTGGAGCAATAGTTCAGCAGGTAGGGTGCTTGCCTTACATGCTAGGGACCTGGGTTTGATCTCTGGCACCCCATATGGTCCCCTGAGCACTGCCAGGTGTGATTGCAAGTACAGAGCCAGGAGTAAGCCTGAGCATTGCCAGGTGTGGTCCAAAAGCAAAACAAGACAAAACATTTTCTTTATAAGTAGTAAACCCTTAATCTGTTGAATAAATGTAGAAATTTGATTATAAGGAAAACATCTAAATGATGATTCATTATTAATAATAATTGTTTTGTTGTTGCTTTGGGATCACACCTCGTAGTGCTCAGGGCTTCTGGCTCTATGCTCAGGGGCCTGTGGGGCAGGAAATATAATCAGGGTCAGCTTAATTCAAGGCATGCACCTTACCCACGTTCTGCCTCTCTGTCTCATTTCTCCTGTTATCAATGTGCTTTTGGCTGAAATGGTGCTGTTATCATTCTATAAAAAGATCATCCAAGTAATGCTTTCTTAGGTCTTGTCTCTGCCCTACTATCCATGACTTTCTATAATTTAGCCCTTTCTTAAAGTTTGGAAGCCACTAGCACATTGCTTTGTCTGTGGTACGTGCATAAATCGCGCTCCTACATAAAGATCAGATTTCTTGCCTGATTTATTCCTGTAACATGTTTCAATTCTATTTTACTTGTCACTGTAATATAGTCCCATTTATGGCAATTACTTTATAGAAATGACAGTGGAACAAAAATAGAAGTAATATTAATAAGTCTAACTATGTATATTAATAATAACACATTCCTCGAGTTACATATTTTGTACAGATACAAGATACACAGTGTCTTTTCCAGTTTCTGCCTTGTACTCTAGATGTACATCCAGTACCTTGTACCTGTACTAGATGTAATAGTCTTTATTAAGAGACCTAAACCAAAAAAGTAGGATCAGAAAAGGAGCTGAAAATGGATTAGATTAGGATGCAGAAGGTTGACATCTAACAGATCTATAAGAAACTTTGAAAAGCCATTGGGTTTTGATTTTTAAAATACTTGCAGCTTGGGGGCCACGCCTGGCAGTGCTCAGGGGCTACTTCCAACTCTGTGCTGGGGGGTGGGAGCTCACTGCAGCAGTGCTTGGGTGATCATGTGATGCCAGGGATCAAACCTAACCTCCTGTATGCAAAATACGTGGTTAGCCCTGCAAGCTAAAGTCACTGAGTGTATGTCTGCGGTTGCCTGGCGAAAAAGCTGGGAGTGATGCAGGGGGCTATGAGGGCATTCTGAAGTGCTGGAAATGGGGTGGCAGTTATGTAGTAACCGTTTGTCCTGAGTCATCAGGCTATACATTTCAAATCTGTCATTATCCAAGTTGAATTTTTTTAAGATGTTGGAGGTAGGGGGGAAACTAAAATATTATTGATGAAATTATTAAGAGTAATAGCTATTGTGTTAAGTTTCACTTATTTTCTCTTTGCCATTAATTGATCAGAAAAACATGGTTTTAAATTATTTTTTTGTTGCTAATTATCTTTGAAACATGAGTAAAATTTGAAATTACGTTTTTACCTGTTCTGGCATGAATAGTTTAATGTTGCATATGCGATTTGGAAAAATAATTTCAATAAATTTTTAGTTTAATGTTAAAATTATTTAATAGTGTCTATTTTGTTTTGAATTTTCAGAATCAATCTTTTACCCTGGGATATTGAAACTGAAGTCCTTCCTCTCATCTCTACTGTATTACCAAGAACTATTTTTCCAACAAATACTATATCTTTAGAAAATTTTGGTAAAGTTTCTGAAATGTTTTCATAGTTAAAAAAAAATTAGTTTTTTTCACTCATAAAAAGTGTTTGTAAATGTAAAGTAACATCATAGATATTTCGACAGTGACTTGACTTTAAAATTGTTTTGACTAGAAAGTGTCTTTTCCTTTAAGTCATTTCTTCCGGTTAGGGCTCCAGTATCCAAAGAAATTATTTTTTACAAACATGTTAATTATGAGCAGATAATCTGATTCATTATTATTTTGTAGATAACTTGTCAGTTTACTCTTGCTTTTTGCCTTGATAGTACCAGCTTATTAAGCAAATAGGTTATTAGAGCAAACACGATTTTTTCTATAAAATTGTCCATATATATTCATACTTTAATACGCATTTCACTAGCTTGAAAAGAAGCTGATAAATGCCTGATATTACAGATATCTTAATAGTTTTCCATTCATTTATAATCTGGTTTACAAGTAGTTTGTTATAGTTATCTATTTTATGCTACAATAAACTGAATTCAAACTACTTTATTCTAAGATGATTTTTACTTTTTTTAAAAATTGTGTTCTTAGATACATCTTGTAAAGAGCACGCATTAGCACATACTCAAGAAGGAGAAGAAAAGAAACAAACTTCTGGTACATCAAACACCAGGGGATCAAGACGAAAGCCTGCAGCAACCCCTACAAGAAGATCTACACGTAACATGAGAGCCGAAGCAGTCAGTCAGTCTCAAGAATCTTCAGTAGCAAATAACTCTGGGTGTGATGCTCCAGATAGTAATAATCCATCTGTAAGTGAACCTTCTTCAGCTGAGTCAGAGAAACAAACAAGACAGGCTCCAAAGCGGAAATCTGTCAGAAGAGCAAGAAAACCACCTTTACTGAAAAAGAAACTTAGGAGTACTGTACTTCCCCCTGACAAATCTTCTGGTGATTCAGTAGATGAAGAAACAGCAGAATCTGATATCCCACCTGTGTTAGTGAAAGAGCATCAATCAGATGTAGAAAGTAAAGACCCTTGTACTATACAGGCAGATGTGGAAAATGAGTCTGCTAATGAATTGGACAATTGCAGTCAGCAAATAGAAGAAAGTGAGAGACAAACAGAGACTCATGATACACAGGAAGAAGTGGAATTTTCATTTCCTAAATTTTCTACCCAGGATAATCCTGTGCTAGTTGAAGAGGACAAAATACAAAATGTTAAGGCTATAGCTGTAGAGAGTAGTGCTTTATGTTCAGAAAGTGAGAGCCCTAAGAGTGCATCTGAAAAAGTAGGTGATTCATTGGAAAATCAAGAACAAGTAACAGAACAGTCAGAATCCGAGGTAATAGCAGACACAGGTACAGATCATCCTTCAAAGGAGTCTCTTACTCATTTAGAACTTGAAACTGAAGTGCACCCACATGTTCCAAGCCTAAATGATTTACCTGAGGATAAAGAATCAATGGTTAATGAAGAAGAGGTTATAGGGAGGCCGATAGTAGAACTTACGGATCATAAAGATTCTACAGTAAAAACAGAAGAGTTTGTAGACAGCCCCAAATTAGAATCATCTGAGGATGGAATTATACAAACAGAGGACACAAAATCTGTTGAGAGCCCAAAGGTTCAGTTGCTTGGACATGTTGAAACTGAAGATGTAGAAACAGTTACAATGTGTGATACTTCAGGGGATGAAAATGTCAACATTATTCAAGACTCTGAAAATAATTTATTGAAAAATGATCTTAATACTGAATCAGACAAACCTGTAGAGGACAATACTGAATCTTTGGTTGAACATCTTAAGTCTTCAGAATTGCCTAACACACAGACTGAACAGATCCAGAAGCATTCTAGTGAAGATAATAATGAAATGATACCTATGGAATGTGATTCACTTTGCAGTGACCACAATGAATCTGGAATTGAACAGTCTGTCAATGCTGATGCTAAGCAATTGAATGAAAATTCTGTGGAGCACGGTTCTGAAAATAATGCACAGTTTTCTGATTCTGCAAGTGAAAAAGTTGTGTCACAACCATCTGAATGCTCAGTAGATAAAGCAAAAAAACCTCGTACTCGAAAATCTAGATTTCATTCTCCATCTACTACTTGGTCTCCCAACAATGACAGGACACAAGAACGAAAACGTTCTCAGTCTCCATCTCCCAAAAGAGAAACTGGAAGAGAAAACAGGAAGTCTAAGTCACCATCTCCCAAGAAAGAATCTGCTAGAGGACGGAAAAAATCCCGTTCCCAGTCCCCCAAAAAGGATGTTACAAGAGAAAGGAAGCCATCTCAGACTCGATCTCCAAAAAGAGAGAGAATGAGGGAAGGCAAAAGATCAGAGTCTCTTTCCCCGAAAAGAGACAGTTCCAGAGAGAATAGGAGATCTCAATCAAGAGTGAAAGATTCCTCCCCTAGAGAAAAATCCAGGTCCCGGAGCAGAGAAAGAGAAAGTGATAGAGATGGACAGAGGAGAGATCGGGACAGAGAACGGAGAAGTAGACGGTGGTCTCGGTCCAGATCTCGTTCTAGGTCACCATCAAGATCTAGAACAAAAAATAAGAGTTCATTGTTTGGTAGAAATGACAGAGACAATTATTCTCGATGGAAGGAAAGGTGGGCAGATGATGGTTGGAGGTGCCCACGAGGAAATGATCGATACAGAAAGAATGACCCAGAGAAACAGAATGAAAATACAAGAAAAGAAAAAAGTGACATCAGTCCAGATGCTGATGATCCAAATTCTGCTGATAAATATAGAAATAACTGTCCTAGTTGGGTAACAGAAAAAATAAATTCTGGGCCTGATCCAAGAACTCGAAATCCAGAAAAGTTAAAAGAGTCTCATTGGGAAGAAAATAGAAATGAAAATTCAGGTAATTCTTGGAATAAAAATTTCAGTTCGAGCTGGATGCCTACCCGTGGCAGAGGCAGCCGTGGCAGAGGCTCTTATAGAGGAGGTTTTGCCTATTCAGATCAGAATGAAAATCGGTGGCAGAATCGGAAACCCCTCTCAGGGAATTCAAATAGTTCAGGGAATGAGTCCTTCAAGTTTGTGGAACAGCAACCTTATAAACGGAAAAGTGAACAAGAGTTTTCATTTGATACACCAGCAGATAGATCAGGGTGGACATCTGCATCTAGTTGGGCTGTAAGAAAAACTCTGCCAGCAGATGTACAAAACTATTATTCACGACGAGGCAGGAATTCTTCAGGTCCGCAGTCTGGGTGGATGAGACAAGAAGAGGAAACAACTGAACAGGGTAACATTCTGTTTATTGATACTATTGTTCTGGGACAAACTTAAAACATTCATATTGAAGACATTTGCCTAACTTTAAAATGATTAATGATTATTTATAGTTTCATCATGTTAAATTGAATCCCAGTTTACACGTTACTTTAGATTTATGTAAGTGTAATTTACCTAATCCAGGTTTGATCCCAGGCTCCCCGTAAGGTCCTGCAAGCTCACAAGAAGTAGTCTCTGAGCATAGAGCTTAGGAGCAAGCCCTGAGCACAGCCCGATGTGGCCCCCAGAACACTAATTTGCCACAACAGAAGGATTTGCAATGTCCCCATGTAGTATTTAACTGCTACTTTTTTTTCCATATATATCCACTAGAATTTTTTTTGGCCATTGCTGTCATAAATGGAGTCCAATAGTAGAACTTATGGATCATAAAGATTCTACAGTAAAACAAAAGATCTTATAAAGTAGAATCATCTGAGGATGGAATTATGCAAACAGGGGACACAAAATCTATTGAATATTTTCTTTCAACTTTTTTTTTTCATTTTGGGTCACACCAGAGATGCTCCTGGCTCTGCACTCAGGAATTACCCCTGGCAGTGCTCAGGGTACCATATGGGATGCTAGGGATCGAACCCGGGTTGGCTGTGTGCAAGGCAAACACTCTACCCGCTGTGCTATCGCTCCAGCCTCACTTTCAACTTTAAACTAATTTAGAAATAAAATCAATTAAATCAAGTAATTGGATTTCTTTTTTCTTTTTGGGTCACATCCGGCGATGCTCAGGGGTTACTCCTGGTTCATGCACTCAGGAATTACTCCTGGCGGTTCTCGGGCGACCATATGGGTTGCTGGGAATGAACCCTTGCCGTGTGCAAGGCAAACGCCCTACCCGCTGTGCTATTGCTTTAGCCCCAAGTAATTGGATTTTGGTTGTAGCATTCTGAGTCTAATTTCTGTTTAATTTTACTATAGTCAGTTTTCTGTCTAAATTTATAATATGATTTTGTTTCATAAACTTTTTCTTTTGATAGATTCTAACGTAAAAGACCAAACAAATCAACAAAATGATGGTTCTCAGCTTCCTATAAATATGATGCAACCACAAATGAATGTAATGCAGCAACAAATGAATGCACAACACCAGCCTATGAATATCTTCCCTTATCCAGTGGGCGTTCATGCTCCTTTGATGAACATTCAGCGTCATCCATATAACATTCATCCTCAGATGCCCTTGCATCTGCACCCAGGGGTGCCTCTGATGCAGGTAGCTCCTCCAACCAATATATCTCAGGGACTGCCACCACCACCACCCCCTCCCCCACCATCCCAACAAGTTAACTACATCGCTTCACAGCCAGATGGAAAGCAATTGCAGGTATGTTCTTAGCAACTAAAGTTTATTCAACATAGTTGTTCTAAATATTTGACTCTTGCGGACAGGTATTCCAAAATATCTTGGCTACCCAGAAATCAGTTACTTTATTAGTGTTTGGTAAGTCTTCACAATCCTTCATCTACTCTCCTTCTCCAATTCTCTATCCCACTCCCAAATAAGATAATGAGTTTAATGTATGTTATTGGATGTAACTATGTGTATATACTATTTTGAATAAGTAAAAGAGGTTTTTTAAAGTTTATTTTTTATTGAGATAACATTGCTTTACAAGAGTGTAAGTATTTGTGTTTCATTTAATGTTATCAAACCAGACTCACTCCAAAGTACCAGTATCCCTCTACAAGTCGTTGAATCCCTCCAGCTACTCACATCACCCCACCCCTTTGGTAACTTCAGTTCTGTGTTTTCTTTAGGTTTTTTTGTTTGTTGGTTTGGTTTGTTTTTTGAGGCCACACTTTGCATTGCTCAGATATTACTCTGGACTTTGCACTCAGGGATCACTTCTGGCAGAGTTTGGGGACCATATGGGCTGCCAGGAATCAAAGCCATATTGGCTGCAGCAAGGCAAGCACCTTCCCATTGTACTCTCTCTCTGGCCGCTGGATTTTAACAATGGGAGGACAGTGACAGATATATATACGTGTGTGTGTGTGTATGTGTGTTTTTACACATATACACACCCCATTTAAGTGAAATCATCCAGTATGTTTCTTTATTCTCTTGACTTAGCATGACCTCTTTCTTTTCTGTCCATGTTGTAACGGAGGGCAGGATTTCATCTTAGAGCAGACAGTCTTTCATTGTACTATACAGTGTCTTTGTCTACATATCTGTTATAGACTTGACTGTGGTGAACAGTGCTGCGTAGCAGATAGGTGTGCATATAGTTCTTTAAATTGATGTTTATCTGTTCTTCAGTTAGGGTGGAGTTGCTGGATCATATAGTTGATTTATTTTTAATTTTTTGGGGAAATCTCAATACTGTAGTCCAGAGAGACTGATTCCATTTATATTCCCACCAATGGTGTATCAGCTTCCTTTTTTTCTCTACACCCTTGGCAGCTCTTGTTTCCGGCTTTTTTTTTTTCTTTGTTAGTGAAGCACCATGAGGTACAGTTGTAGATTTACAAATCTTTGTGCTTGGGTTTCGGTCATACAATGATCAAATACTCATCCCTCCACCAGTGCCCACCCTCCACCACCATGGATAATATCCCCCCTCCCACCCTGCCTCTGTGGCAGGGCATTCCCCTTTGTTCTCTCTCTCCTTTTGGGTGTTGTGGTCTGCAAAAGAGGCATTGAGTGGCAAACATGTTCAGTTTCTGGCTTTTTAATAGAATATTCTCACATATGTGAATTGAGAGCTCATTGTTTTTTATTTGCACTTCCTTTATAATTGATACTGAATATTTTTGGTGAAATTCAGGTCTTCTCAATTTTTCATGGGGTCCAGTCATTAGGTTTTTGGGTTTGTTGGGAGTTCTCTAGAGGGTTGGGGTTAGAGTAGTACCAGGTATTGGGCAAAGTGGTGGAGAGATTGTACAGTAGTTAAAGCATGTGGCTTGCTTGTAGGTGACCCTGGTTCCATTCTCTACTCACAATCAGAGTACATGAGCACAGAGTAAGATTTGAACACCCCAAAACAAACCAAAAATAAAAAAGAATTATGAGCCAAACTGAAATGAAGTGGGCAGTTTTAAGTACTGCATGGAAACTTGTATTACCTGTTTGTTGTCCATTATGGTCTGTGCTTCGTTTTCATGAATTTATATTGAAAAATATCTCAGAGCATATGGAGAAATTGAATAAGTCACAAACATTGTATTGTTTATAGTTTTATGTCTACATTGTAGAAATTCTGCTTTTTGTTTGGTGAGGGGTTAGGGTCTTCGGACCACACCCAGTGGTACTTGAGGGCCCATGCAGTGCTCGGATTGAACTGAACTGCAAGAATTCTAGAATCTTCATAGCAAGATACTGTTAGAAGGGTAGGGGAATAGAAGTCCTGAATCTGGAGATAATTATATCTTTTTTCTGCTAGTTCAAGCCATTTGACTTCACTGCCACATTTTCTTCAAACTTCTTAAAATGGGTCACTTGGATTGAACCCTGAAAAAAGGCACAGGGGCTGGAGGGAGTTCGTTTCTTCAATTAAGTATCCTTTAAAAGCCTTGCAGGAAAATTTTTAATTTTTTGTTTTGGGGCCATACCTGGCTACTTCAGGGCACCTGTTTTTGTTCTCATGGATCACTCCTAGCTGTTCTTTTGGGACCATATGTGGTGCTGGATCAAACTGGGGTAGGCCGCATGCAGGGCAAGTGTCTTAACCCCTGTGCTTTATCTGTGGCCCTAAGAATCTAATTTCTTTCTTTGTTTTTTATTATTTTGACATTAGACCATACTAGGCAGTGTCCAGGGCTTAATCCTGGCTCTGTTCGGGTATCAGTCCTAACTTGGCTCAAGGGACCACTGGGGTCCTGGGGACTGAGCCCAGGTTGTCCACATGCAAGGCAAGTGTCTTACCTGCTGTACTCTCTCCAGCCCCAAATCTAGGTTTCTTTTTTTCTAATTTTTTTAAATTGAGATTCTGTACTTTACAATGCTATTTAATGATGATTCCTCCTGCACATAATTATAGCACTACATCCATCACCAGTCTACCCCCTTCCTCTCCTAGGTTTCTAGGTTCTTATATGTAGTTGTTTTCAGTTTTGCTGCCAGAACATTATATTTACATAGCTTGTAATTTAAAAGTCATATTTAAATGGAACTGTTTATGACATTTAATCTTTTTCCAATTACTTTTTTTTTAAGTGATTTCTAATATGCGACTTAACGGACTTTTATTGTGTATAAGTAATTCATTAACTGATGATAACTCTTTAAAACAGGGTATTTCTAGTGCTTCTCATGTAAGTAATAACATGAGTACACCAGTCTTACCTGCTCCAGCAGCAGCCCCAGGAAATACGGGAACAGTTCAGGGACCAAGTTCTGGTAATACTTCGTCATCAAGTCACAGCAAAGCCTCTAATGCTGCTATAAAATTGGCAGAAAGCAAAGTAAGTGTTACAGTGGAAGCCAGCGCAGATAGCTCGAAGACAGACAAGGCAAGTTCAAGGTTGAGAATAACCTTCATAATTCCATATACAATTAAGATGAAAAACATTTTCTATTGTATAAATGGTAAAGGGAATTTATTGTTGATAGTTTTAAATTCCAGTATTTGAAGGGTTTATAGATACGTAAATACTCCCTGGAATCACTGGAAATATTATTGTAATGTTTTATATGTTAGTAAATAATTATTTTGTATTTATAACACTGATGTTTGAATGGTTTCTTATAATTAAATGGTCTGTATATTTTTATAATAGTTTTTTTGAAATGTAATTTGCACATCATAATATATTTTAAGTTATGTAGTTTAATATTTTGGTTTTGGTTTTTGGCTTATTTTGTTGGTTTTTATTTTGGTTTTGGGCCATACCAGCGATGCTTAGGCTTATTCCTGACTCTGTTTTCAGAGCTCATTCCTAAAGAGGTTCAGGTAAATTTAGTGCATTTTGCAGGGCAGGAAGGCCATACCTGTTGGTGCTCAGGGCTTATTCCTGGCTCTGTGTTCAGCGATCACTCCTGGCAGTGCAAAGAGGTTTATATGGGGTTCCAGGGGTTGAACTTGGGTGGACTGAGTACAAGGCAAGAATCCTGCCCACTGTACTATTGCTCCTGCCTCTTTTGTTTGTGTTTTGGGCCACACCTGGCAATGCTCACAGCTTACTCCTGATTTTGTGCTCTGGGGTCACTCCTGGTGGGCTTGAGGCACTATACAGGGTGCCAAGGATCAAATCCAGGTCAGCCATATATAAGGCAAACACTCTACCTGATGTTTTAATGCTCTGGTCCCCGAATTGTAGGGCATTTTTATCATGCCCTTGTCTCTTGCTCCCATCCCAACCAAACCCACTGACTACCCTGTAACTTACAATTACTTCTGTTCCAAGCAACAGCTGATCTTTCCTGTGGTGTTGCTTATTTTGGACATTTCATATAATTTGTCATTATATGAGAGAGAGAGAGAGAGAGAGAGAGAGAGAGAGAGAGAGAGAGAGAGAGAGAGAGAGACTTCTTTTACTTAACATAATGACTTCCGAGTTTAAGAAATAACGTTGGAATTTTTAACCTGCTTTTGAGAACCAGAGATAACCAGACTTACTTGACCTACCACCCTCCTTTTGAGCACAGCGGGTAGGGCATTTGCTTGCACGCGACTGACCTGGGTTCGATTCCTTCGTCCCTCTTGGAGAGCCCAGCAAGCTACTGAGAGTATCCCACCCGCATGGCAGAGCCTGGCAAGCTCCCCATGGCGTATTCGATATGCCAAAAACAGTAACAACAAGTCTCACAATTTGTTGTGAGACGTTACTGGTGCCCGCTCAAGCAAATTGATGAACAATGGGAAGACAGTGCTACAGTGCTATTGCCCTCCTTTTCAGGGTAGGAAGAGAAAAGTCAGTCCCCCCATGCCCTCAGCAACCTGCCTTCTTTAAGCAAACAGAAAGTGTCCCCCCCCCCATCTCCAGCCATACTCACTACTACTGCACCCTGGATTGTCCAGGGCTCTCCCCCTCCCCCAGGGTGGCAGTGGTGGGGACACAGCGACACAGGATCACCTACTTTGGCCAGCGCTGATGTGTGCCGACTTCTAATTTTAAATGAGCTACAGAGGTCCAGGGGGCCAGTTCGGAGGGCTTGAGCGCGTGCTTTGCATGGAGGAGCCCCAGCCTCAACTCCCGACTCTACTGGCAGTGCTCCACCCGCTCTACCCCCACCGCTGTGTGTCTCAAGTAGGAACCATAGTGCACCTTCTTAGGAGATTAGACAGCTGTTTAAAGTTGATTTGCAGGTGTTCTCTTTGAATTCTCCATGAATTCATTTTTCCATTGTTTGGACAGTATTTTCCATTTTTTATTTTTAAAGAAAAAAAACAAAATGTTTGATGGGGCAAATAATAATTAAACATTTTCTTCTTATCAGAAATTGCAGATTCAAGAAAAAGCAGCACAGGAGGTAAAATTGGCCATTAAGCCATTTTACCAAAATAAAGATATCACCAAGGAAGAATATAAAGAGATTGTTCGGAAAGCAGTAGATAAAGTAAGTGGAAGCTTCAGCGAAGTTCTATAATGTTTGTTTGTATTTGGTTTGGGAGCCACAGTCCCGTGTGCGAGGATTACTCCTGGGCGGGCTTCATGTGTGGTGGGCAGGCAACCCTTTGTGGTGCTGGGGATCAACCCAGGTTGTGTGTTGGGCAGGCACTTACCCCTGTATTCTCTCTCCGGCCCCATTCATAATGTTGTGAAAAATGTTTCTTAAGGTTAACTTAATAACAAGAGCAGGCTTCTACTTCTTGTTTATGTTTTATTTCCTTTTTGAACTGTTTCATAGGAAATATGAAAATATAAAAATCATTTGACTCTCTCTTTGGAGTAAATTGTTTTTCGTGAAACTCTTCTTTAATCCCATTAATGTGTAGAACAAATTCACCCTCTTTTCTTTTTTTCAATAGGTATGTCACAGTAAGAGTGGCGAAGTCAATTCAACTAAAGTGGCAAATCTGGTTAAAGCCTACGTTGACAAATACAAATATTCACGAAAGGGAAGCCAAAAGAAAACTCTGGAGGAAACTGTATCTACTGAAAAAAACATAGGTTGAAACGGGGAACGTTGTAAAGGACACTGTCACCATATCTGCAAAGTGCAATTTCAACATGTATCTTTAACTGAAAATCATACATAACTGTGATTGAAATTTGGTTTTGATAAAATTATTTTTTTTAATGTAGGATATACTGTTTTGTTCTAAATAAATGTAGTTCTGCACTGCAACTTCTATGTTCTTTCCTCCCCCTCTCAAAATTGAAACAAATTTAAGAGAAAGTAAAGGGGTTAAAGGAATGTGCAGTTTTACTAGGACTGTTATAGTATGGAAGATGTACAGCTTTTTAATTTGAACAGTGGAGTGCATAAACTAGTAACTTCAAAGTGCACTTGTTTTGGAAGAGATTTATATATATATATATAAAAATACATTTATTCTGTCAGGCTAAAAATGAAGTATGATCTTTATGAATTTCTTCTCTCATTATAGAAAGTTAAATAATGTATTATCATGAAAAATATTTCTAATAACAGAAGACATCAATTGCAGATTTCCTAATGTGTATTTTTTAAGCACACATCTGAATAAATTGCTTAGATTGAAAACTATCATGAGTAAAATCAACATTTTGGGACACTCTTCACCTATTGTATCACCAAATAAAGACTATGCTGCTTGTTTTTCCTTTGTGCCTTCCTGCCAGGCCCACCTCCACTCCTCACCCCTGCAGGAGATTAAGCAGTTTGATTTGCTAAATTTGTAACTTTGATTGTCTAAGGTCTGTTGAACTTAGAAAAGCAGTTTGGAAAAAAGTATCAGCTTAGTAGAAATTATGTTCCTTCTCTTTATCTTCTATCAGAAATGATAAATTATCTGTGCCAACAAGATCATCGCTGTTAAGTAGTAACCCCTGCCTTCCATTCAACTGTAATAGAATTAGGAGACTCACTAAAGTGGCTTTCAGGTTGTTGCTCATCGATCTAATCACTAATTTAATTTCTTTCACTGTTGAGAAATCTCCAAATGCTTTATAATAAGCAAATGTTAATTTGGTAGCCATGGTAGCCAGTAGTCATGTTGCAAAATTAAGCAATAAAATCTGTTTGGGAAAGGGAGAGGAATTAAATGATGACATTTGGGTTAGGATTTTAGGTACTAGGGATTTGGTGGGTTTTTGTTCTGTTTTTAAGTATTATTAGAGTTTTGTTAAAGGTAAGTTAAAAATTTGTGTGGCACCATTATTTTAATTGGCATCTTGGAAGAAAAACTATGAGTTATTTCCATGGTAGATTGTCATTCATTTCAGTCGTAATTTTTAATATGTACCCTATAACTAGAGCTTTTCAGATCATAAGTTAATGATTCAGTGATATATATGCCTCAGTAAGATTCCCTGTCCCTTTTACTAACCAACCAGAGCAACTAACCAGTCAGAGCAATACTACTCCATAGGATTTTGACTTTTTAAGTAAGTTATGTTTCTCATTTTTATGTGCATAATACATTGGTGCTAGCTTTGGTAGACAAAAATATTCTGAAATGTTGACCTCCCCTAATAATGATTATGTTTATAATCTTTATTAGATTATGAGTATTACCCCAAAGTGTATTAAAACTATTTACAAGCAGCTTTTGATCTTTATTAAACATCATTTCTGGGCATTTGTATTATGATATTCTACTGATTTATATATATTTTTAATTAAAGTTTGTGTTAGATTATGGTGGAGAAAGAAATTTGGAAGTATATTTCTTCTAACAAATACCAGTTTGTTTTAGTTTTGAACTGTAGAACAGTATGAACCTGTCATTTATTTTGAGTTAAAGGTGGTTCACACTCTGAAATTTTGTAGCAAATTACTGTGCCTATGCTTACCTAGTACAACTTTTAGTGATGTTTGGGAGTTGGGGGACATTTTTAATATTTGCTTTATACTATGCTTTTACAAAAACATTTAAAGTTTGGGGGGAGGGAAGCCTGGTGGTGTGGTTAAGAGTTAAAATTTTACAACTTTGGTAGCAATGCCGTGAGTTATTTCTGGCTGGAGTCTGGTTAGGTTGCATCTAAAAATAGCTAATTAAGAATGTTTTGGGATTAGAATCAAGCTTTTAAAACTTAAAGATATTTAAGAATATATTAGAAAGTGCATGCTTTATGTTAAAAATGCATTGCTTTAACATTTCCCATTCATGTTTTTTTTTAAAAATTTACATTTATTTTGCATGTGTTCAAATTTAAAGACATTTTGTGGGGTTACAGATTACCTTTGTTATTTATGAAGATTCAGTGTTAAATTGACCTGATACCTTGATCCCTTTAACTTACTAGTCACATTGACCATGTTCTAGGCTATAGTGATACCTAGAATTTTGAGCTGTGTGTAGTTATATTAACATTCCAAAAGCTTTTGTGATTTTTTTTCCCTTCTCGTAATTACCACACTTTCTTCATTGTTCTCCTTTAAATGGCCACAGTGTGTACTGCTTGAATGTTCCATCTGAAAGATGTAGCTTCAGAAAGCACAGTGGTTTTCCCATGGTCCATGACACATTGTAGTATGAGGTTGGAGTGCTGTCTACTGAAAAAATATTCTTAAACAGATGTAGTATGTAATATTTTCTAATAAATGCTTTTGATAAACAAAGTAGTGTCTTTAGTATTATTAAGACTTCTGAAGGGGCTGGAGCAGTAGTACAGCAGGTAGGGTGTTTGCCTTGCACGCGGCCAACTCGGGTTCGATTCCCAGCATCCCATATGGTCCCCCGAGCACCGCCAGGAGTAATTCCTGAGTGCAGAGCCAGGAGTAATCCCTGTGCATCACCAGGTGTGACCCAAAAAGAAAAAAGAAAAGACTTCTGGGGAAACTGGAGAGTCCTTAAGCCACTTGCTTTGCGTGCAGCTGACCCTTTTCAAATTCCAAGCACCACATATAGTCTCCCTAACACAGCCAGTGGTGACTCCTGAGTACAGAGCCAGAGCCAGAAATAGTTCCGGAGATCAGCTCAATATGGTCCTCAAACAAAAGTCTTCGGGAAGCCATGAATTTTTCTTTTTTTTTTTAAGTTTTATTAGTGAAACACACCATGGGCTACAGTTGTAGACTTACAAATTTTTGTGCTTGGCTTTCGATTATACAATGATAAAATACCCATCCTTCCACCAGTGCCCATTTTCCACCACCATGGATCCCAGTGTCCCTCCCACCCCCATTGCCTCCATCCCACCCTGCCTCTGTGGCAGGGCATTCCCTTTTGTTCTCTCTCTCCTATTGGATGTTGTGGTCTGCAAAAGAGGCATTGAGTGGCACTCATGTTCGGTCCGTAGTCTACTTTCAACATGCATCTCCCATCCTGGGAGGATCCTCCAAACAACCTTTATTTGGTGCTCCCTTCTCTATCTGAGCTGCCCTTTCCCCTAGAATGCCCGGCTTGCCACTAAGCCATGGATTAATCCTCCTGGTACTGATCTCGGCTATTCTTGGGTATTAGTTTTCTATTTTGTTACTTAATGTCCCCCAGATGAATGCAATCTTTTTATGTCTATCCCTCTCTTTCTGACTCATTTTGCTTAGCATGATACTTGTAGTACCACTTGTATGTAAATTTCATGACTTCATCTTTTCTAACGGCTACATAGTACTCCATTGTGTAGATGTACCAAAGTTTCTTTAACCAGTCATCTGTTCTGGGGCACTCAGGTTTTTTCCAGATTCTGGCTATTGTAAAGAGTGCTGCAATGAACAAACAAGTGCAGATGTCACTTCGACTATACATTTTTGCCTCTCTGGGATATATTCCCCCGAGTGGTATTGCTGGGTCAAATGGGAGCTCAATTTCTAATTTTTTGAGAATTGTCCATACTATTTTCCAAAAGGGCTGAACCAGTCGGCATTCCCACCAGCAGTGAAGGAGGGTTCCTTTCTCCCCACAACCGCGCCAGCACTGGTTGCTTTTGTTCTTTTGGATGTGGGCCAGGCTCTGAGGTGTGAGATGGTATCTCAGTGTGGTTTTGATCTGCATCTCCCTGATGATTAATGATGTAGAGCATTTTCTCATGTGCCTTTTTGCCATTCGGATTTCTTCTTTGAGGGAAGCCATGAATTTAACCTCATTTAAATTCTTTGCAAACATAGAGAAGTAATTTTTATGTTTATATCAAATTAGTATCATAGTTGTGTTAATGTCAATGTTTTACAAGCTTAAAGTTAACCTTCAGCATATTTTTAATAGCATTGTCGCTATATAATTATAGGAAGTTGGAAGAACTAAAGTTTAAAATAGAAGAAACCAAAAGGAAAAAAAATATATTAGTAATCTTACAGGACAACAATTAACACCAAGTAAATTGTACATAACTATGTTGTAACATCCTTTCCACTTATTCAGTGAGAAATTTCCATTTTAATAAAAATTACTGCATGACTTTCTAATTACATTTTATTCTATTACATGGTTGTGCTATTCTACTATTGGTTATTAATAGAAACTATGCATTTTACTAATAAAGGCTGATGTAGTAAATACCTGTATACACAAACTCATTTTTTTTCTTTCCCATTCTAGATTGCTATCTTGGGATTCATTTCTGCAGGTAAAAACCTTGGTCAATCTATAGTCCTCATTACATTTCTTTGTTTTGTCCACCCCTGCTGGTGCTCCAGCACTACTCCTGGCTGGTGTTTTGCAGTTGCTTCCTGGAGTGCCTTGAAGCCCTTTTGGCATATGAGAGTAAAGCTGGGCCTCTGGCACGAGAAGCTGCACTCCAGTTTTGAAGTTACCACCCAGCCCCTCATTAGCTTTTGTTTGTTTTGGTTGGGGTTTGTTATGCTCAGGGGTCGCTCCATGCTTGCCAGGGATTGCCCAAATGGGTAGGCTGGGTGCCAGGACAAGCTCTTTATGCACTCTACTCCTCCTTCATTAAAATTTTCAATGTAATTATACATACACCGGGCTGGAGTGATAGCACAGCGGTAGAGCGTTTGCCTTGTGCGCAGCCAGCCCAGCCGAGCCGGGTTCGATTCCTCTGCCCCACTCAGAGAGCCCGGCAAGCTACTGAGAGTATTCAATATGCCAAACACAGTAACAAGAAGTCTCACAATGGAGACGTTACTGGGCCCGCTCGAGCAGATCAATGAACAACAGGAGGACAGGCTATATATACACCAGTTTTATTATTTTAAGAATTCAGTTGTCGAATTTTATTTTTTTAAGTTAGTTTCTCTACCCAGAAATATGCATCAGCAAAGTTTTTGTGGGAGCTAGTGAGGTAATACAGTGGGTGAAGCTAACAAGGCATTCCGGACCCAAAAAAAACCTGGTCCTATATGGCTTCTCGAGCCTCACGTGACCGTTGCCAGGTGTGGTTGACTTGGACTTTGCCAGTTGCTCTGTCTCGGCATTGCAAGACTTGAACTGCAGTATATCCTTGGGCTCTAGCATGGAGCAGGGGCCATTATCTCTAGGAATGTCCCCTGGGGTCCCTGAGGACTTGAGAGGCCGATTTTAAATTGGGGTTGGAGGGAGGGGATGGCACAGGGGTTTTGAGTATCTTTTTAAATGTTTCTAAATATTTTATGCACTGTAGCACTGATTTGCTCAAGCGGGCACCAGTAACGTCTCCATTGTGAGACTTGTTACTGTTTTTTGGCATATCCAATACGCCACAGGGAGCAGGGGGTGCCCGACCAGCACGTGGCCGGGCACTTGGCGCCAGAAGTGAGAGCCCCCTCGAGGTTCACCCCCAACCCCTGCCTCACTGGGTCAGTGAAAAAACGAGAGCTTTGGTTGCTGTCTTGAGACATGTGGAAACCAAAACTTGAAAGAAACTACATTCTAGATTTTGGGTGCAAAGAGTCAAACAGAGATTCTGATAACATTGTTGACATACTACAATAGCTATGAACTGTTCACTTTGTTATGGAGAAAGAAATATGGAGTCTTTTTGCAAAAGGTTCTGATTGCTGAATTTTCTGTCAGATTTTATTTTATTTTTAATTTTCTTTTATTGGGCTGGAGCGATAGCACAGCGGGTAGGGCATTTGCCTTGCACGCGGCCAGCCTGGGTTCAATTCCTTCATCCCTCTGGGAGAGCCTGGGAAGCTACCAAGACTATACGACGCACACAGCAGTGCCTGGCAAGCTCCCCGTGAAGTATTCAATATGCCGAACACAGTAACAAGTCTCACAATAGAGACATTACTGGTGCCCAGTTGGGCAAATCAATGAACAACAGTGCTATCATGTTTTATCATTTTACGTTTTATCATTTCATATATGTGTGTGTGTGTGTGTATATATATACATATACACATATGTGGAGTGTTGGGTTATTTCCATGTATCTTAGCTATTACAGACAGGCAACAGACATAAATAAGCATGTGTCTTCAGATTCATTTTTTTGTTCTTCAGATAGAAAACTAAGAGTGAAATTCCTATGTCATATAAATAGATCTATTTTTAATTTTTTGAGATTTTCATACTGTTTTTCAAGAGGCTGAACAATTTACATACCCACCAACAACAGTGTATATGAGGTTCATTTTACTTCCCACTTCCAACAAGTTTTGCTTTGTGCCTTTTTGATAGAGTTCATTTTCAAAATGGTAAAGTGAATTATTTTTAAATTGAAAGAAAAATTCATTGCGCTTTTCTGACAAATTATAATGAGGTGTGTTGTTTTGTTAATGTGTTTGTTTAGATGGAACTCTTCTCCCCATTTTGGAAGGGCTTATTTGTTTTGTTGTTGATTTTTGTGAGTTATGTACCTTGACTATACAGTTTTTCAGATGTAGGGTGTGCAAATATTTTTTCCCATTCAGTAGAATGTCTTTATTTTAATGACAGTTATGCAGAATCTTAGTTACAGGTTTACTTTTAAATTTTTGCTTAATTTGTTTGGGGGCCACACCGAGTGGTGCTCAGGGCTTACTCCTGGCTCTGAGCTCAGGATCACACCTTGTGGACTTAGGGGACCATATGTGGTGTCAAGATCAGACCTGGATCAGTCACGTGCAAGGCGAGTGTCCTACCCACTCAGTTCTGTCACTCAGGCCCTTGAGGCTTATTTTTTATTTTTATTTTTTCTCTTGCCATTGAAGTCTAATGCTCAGACAACACTGAAAGTCGGAGATGACTGAAAGGGCCTGGGTTTGAGTCCCAGCACACATGGTCCTCTGAGCTTCATTGGTGGTGACCCCTGAAAGTTGTGGCCCCAAAATACACCAAAAAGTACCAATAATGTTAATATGGAGTGTTTTTCCTGTGTTATCTTCATTGTGGTTCTATTAATTAGGGTCTGCATTTATGTCTTTAATCCACTTAGAGTTAACTTGTGTTGGTGTAAGATCACTTGATTACTTGATATCCCTTACTCATCAATTTGCTCGAGCGGGCACCAGTAAGGTCTCCATTCATCCCTGTTGCATGCTAGCGTAGCCCAATGGCATCTGCTCATTCTAGGAACATGAAGAGCAAACCGATCATTCAGGGTCTTGACGAAGAAGTCTGACCATCTCGTAGGTGGGCATCCACACGATCTTTTGACATCCTGTGGAATCCAGTCAAGTAATGACTCTAGTCCAGTGGTTGTCTCTAAGTCTCATTACGTGTCAAGCCCATCTGATTTTCGATGCCTTGGCAAATGA